TGTGTATTTCGTCATGTAAATTGTAGGTTTTACACGTTAATGTGTACATCTCGCTTTCATTGAGATGTGAAATGTGCTCATCAATGTCGTTTCTTTCTAACCCCAAAACATAAAAAAAGGTGTTTCAGTTCCCCTTTAATATATTCATATACATCAGCCACAGAACACAACAACTTTGCAGATACGCCTCTCTTGCTTTTCACATTCTCATTAATTGCCTCTCTGTGAAAAAACAATGGCAATTCCTGCCTTTAATCTAATAAGCGGTCTAAACTTCCTGACAGGTCTCCATTTCAATACGCCTGACCTTGCACAGATGTTGAGAAAGATATTGTTACAGCTATGGAGGTTGCTGTTGAGGTGTCTCCGGATCTAGAGACAATGGTCAACATCTAGCTAGTATTAACATTTGCAGTTCTGGGTTTCAGGGTAAAAACAAAGTATAGAAGAACAAGGTTTTTACTGAGCTGTAAGACACAATGATCAAATGGAATTGGAATGTTTTCTCCGTTAAATTATTTGTAAATTATTAAGACTCATCAACTGTGTAGGAACACAGGGCAAAAGACAGAGAAACTACAGAGAACACACAAGAGAGGAGGAGAGAAATGACAGAGAGAGGAAAGAGAAGAGAAGAGCTGAGCCAAGTGAAGGGACCATGTTCAAATCATCCTTAAACACCAGATTCACTATTCACTATTGGAACCTTGTGTAAGAGAGCTTGCTGTACTGTTTATAAAGGTAACTCTGATTTACTGTACTTAAAAAATCCCCAAGTTAAAAATGTTCTATCCTGGTTAGAGGATATATTGTTTTAGAATAAGGAGATAACATTCCATTCATCTTTGACCCTTTGATTTATCTCTAGGTAATAGTGTTTGTATTTGCTAAATACAAACACTATATTATCAGATTTTATGTTTCTACAAGGCATTGTTGCATTAGAAAAAAAAATCAAAAAAGTGACTTATCCAACAGATACTTTAAACTATAAGTGATCCTTCAGAGAGGTGATTACTTTACAGGTTCATCTGAAGCATTAATGTTGATTCACTGATCCATATAAAATAAGCAACATGAGAAACAAAAACAGCTACTAGATTGAAATGACAGGAAAATGTGACTCAACTGTGATAATTTACAGTCAGGATCTGTGTCAGTGTGTGAGCTGCAAAGGGACAAGTAGAGTTTAATTCCACATTGAAAAGGAGAAATAAGGGAAAATTGATTTAATAAGGAGTTCATGACTACAAAAATCAAAATAAGAGTAGTAATGCTATGTTTTCCAAGACATCGTAAGTCTTTCCACAACACATAATTAATTGCAGAATTACGAGGACAAAATGCAATCTACAAAGTAAGGCAAAGACCAGAACAGATTAAATTTTCAGCCCATATTGGGAGACTTAACCTTCATCAAGAAGATGCCAAGATAAAGGAATGCCAGCATTAAACCAGACATTGCTTGCTAAACAATGGAACATAAATGAAATGTAAGGTTTGGCAGAGCTGGTTATCCCACAGATCTTTCACATTCTGCAGAATGTAGAAATTTAACGGCCGCTCAACCCTTTCCCATATGGCATTAGGAATTCTAGCATGCGATCTATCCCGATGCTCCAAAGACAAAGAAAGAGGCATCACAGAACTAAAACAGTTCCCTCGAGGTGCACGTTCATTTTAAATATTGACAGGCGACCTTGAAGAGAGTGGAAAAATGAGCCCGTCTGATCATGTTAGAGGTGAATGGTTTATCAGTGTTATTAAAGCCATTTACTGATGATGGCCAATACAGAAAAGCAATCCACAATACTGAGGTGTCTGAAGTATTTGACCTAGTGTCACAACCTATAGCAATTGGCTCCACCGCAAACTAAAATGGTAGTGTTGCAGACATTAACCAAAACCATCAAAAGAAGAGCAGGAGAAGCAGGGTTTGGCCACATACAGTACACAGTAACTATATATGCAGCTGGGGTGGCCTAAATATAACGGTATCTGCAGCACAGAGCAATGCTGAGCATTGCTAACTGACACAGGAATAGAAATCATGGATGAACCAACAGCCTGAGCTCTGGGTTTCAAAAACAAGGCAAAGAACAGTGGCAGATGGGGTCACCCCTGAAATGAGCCTCCAGAAATGGCAAACTGTTAGGAACATAAAACTTTTATGTCACTTATCTTCCTGAAACATGTTATGCTACTCATGTTCCTACCATATTTGCTCTGAAACCTTTTGCAAAGTAATGCACAAAATATTAATCCTAGACTCTGTGATCCCAGACTCTCGTGATCCACAATCTCAGACATTTATACAAAGCTTTTGTTTGGTGCCCAGAAAAACAAAAGGACAGGACGAAGGCATGCCTATAGCCACATGAATGATGTGGAGGAAAAAACGAGATACCATTTAATAAGGCCTGTCAGATTGCAGTGTACAAGCCTACATACAACTTGGCATCAGAGGGAATCGGAGAGATGGGCTCACAAAGAGAGGGGGGATCTTTGTCTTTTGCAGCTAAACTCTAATTATTTAGAATTACAGCAAAACATTTTTTACACTGAAATTTATTTCTTAAAAACTATTTTCAAGATAGTGCAAGATGCAAAACACTAGACCATAAAAGGAAGAACATTTTAAAACCTTTACAGGATAGGAAGTAAGACACTATAATCCCTTTGATCGACTCTAAAGGAACAGTAATGACTTACTGTATGAAATGGCGTTATTTCTAAGTTGTTCTTATGTTGTTGTTTTTTTAATGAGAAAGACACATTTTAAGCCATGCTCCCAATTGTTCTACACTAGAAAACATTAAGCAGAGAAAGGCCCAGGTATGTGACCTATGGAATGACCTAGGTAAAATGCCTGTGAGTTATCTAAATCTATCCACTGAAGCATGCCTGCCATTTGCACTTAAACTGTTTACTGTCCAGGTCATCTGATTTCTCCCATTAAATCACAGTCTGAAGTATCCCTCATCATAAGCAAAGAAAGTAGTAGATATCATTAACTTTCAAAGTTCTAACAATTTAAACAATTCTCAGGACTAGAACCCAGGATACTTCCATAGACATTAATAAGTGTCAAACATATCAAAAGAGAATACAACAAATACTAGAATATTTTTAGAACATTGACTTTTCTTAACACGCCTTCTGGTAATGGAACGTGTAGTCAAATTCATAGCCTTAGCTCTGTGGCACTCAAATGAAATCTTTTGATTGTTTTTTTTTTATCTTCTCATGCCACACAGACATACAGTACAGTACATTCCAAGATCAGGAAGCAAGACAACCATCTAAATGTGAACACTGACCACAAAGATTAATAGAACAAATACACAAATACATAGCCTACAACCTAATGCCAGGGGTGATTTTCTTCAGATATTTTCCTTGGGCTAATCACGGTACCAATAACACTGGGAAATGACCCAAAACCCCATAATAAACTGGCGTTGTGTCTGTAGTATGCCGAGAATACACATGTAGAACCTCACACAAGTTCACTAAAGACTGTTCCACAAAGCTTACCAGCCACACCTAAGTGCCAGTGCGCAAGACTGCAGGGTTATGAAAGCCCTCAGGCTCATGAATCATCCTGAGGGTGGAGTCACTACAACACCCAGCTGGCTGACTCAGGTTTCTTTAATTGTCTTCAGACCTTCATGTCTCATTTTTCCCAGTCACTGGGTAACTATTGGAACAGCTTTAGTCTAACAAGCAAAAACAAAACAGAAAAGGGCAGAAGAGACTTGATGCAACTATATTAAATGAACTTAAAAGGCTCATCTCATGATCTGTTGTACTGCTGAAAAACAAAATCACAGCACATTGTGATTATCTTTAAAGCCAGGGATTTTAATATTTTTTTTTTTCTTTAAGTTTTTTATTGTTTTCATTTTTTTTTATTGTTTTTTTTAATTTTACCACCCAGTTTTTTGCCGGTTGTTTTCCTTCTTGGCCCTTTGGGAATTGGGAACTTCGTTGAAACGGTTTTTATTGTTTGGGGTTAAAAGGTTTTTTCTGCATCTGTATGAGTCTCATGTGTCTATTCAGTAATGCAGGCACTTGTGTTTACAACGTTTTAGAATTACTTTTGTTAGACATGTGAACTATTGTACTCCGCAAATACCAAAACGAGCTGATCTCCCGAAAAGCTTCGAAGCGTAGTGCCAACAAATGAGTGAAGGTTAATGTTTATTTACTGATTGTTCGCACTGATATATCGCAACTTGAAACCGTGCTCACACAAGTTAAAGGCTCATCACAAAAGGCACACGTTTCCTCGGACCGAAAAGCTTGTTGTCTCCAGTTGTTCCAGTCGGCAAATGAAAAACGGTCTTGTTTCTAGAGGCCTAAATACTGACTCTATAGCCCCATGCAAGTTGGCAGACTCGTAGCACCAAGGAAATCTGCAGTGCTCTCCCTGCGTCCAACTGCTGTGCTGTGGGGGAGATTCGGTGTGGACGTTTAAATATATACGAATAACCAATGTTACTGGGTAAAAATGAAACTTTCTCTTCAATAAAAACATGACTGAACTGGTCACACCTCTTTGAGCTATTCGTCTCTGCCTCAGCATGCTGCGTACTTCTCGGTACACGTTTTTAACTTATATACAGGGATGTTTACACGCACAAAACCGCTTGCAATAACCTAATCTAAATGATAATAATCTAAATATGTATTGTATGTTTTTAAAATATAAAATATATTCCGATTAGTGGCGTCGTCAGTTTTTCAAGATACTTCTTACTTTTCTTTGGGAGTTCTCCGTGCAAAACCCATGTAGAGAACTGGTAAAACCCCCGAGGCATGACTTCAGTATGAAGTTATTTTTATAACTACAGCAACGGCTGAAGGCAGTGGAAAGTTTGTATTCATATTCACTCTTATGTGTTATTCATTGTCCTTAAGTACATTACGTTTCAATGACAAAAGTTAAGAAAGATGTCTTTTTATTTTTCATATATTGATAAACTCCAAATACTCACCTTGTCCTTGCGCTACGATTGTCAGAATTGCGAATAGTAAAATCCTTAAGTACTTCATTGCCGCTTTGTAAAACTTAGAAATATAAAATAAAATCTAAATATGCATAAGTAATGCTTTGAAAAAAAAAACTCCCAGTCCTTGCCAACAAAGCTGTGACGCTTTCAAAAACAAACTTTTGTCAAACAAAGATGAAACATGAAGCGGGAGCTGACAACATTCAGTCCTGCTTACCTCCTCCACCCAAAATAAAGACAGACCGGTTTATGACCCAATCGCAGACATCTATGCCCACTAAACTCGTCAGTCAGTGGCTCCACTCACAGACGGGTAAAACTAGGAAGGCGTTGCCCCGGCCTCGCCCTCTCCAAAAAAAAGCCCCAGGTATTTCGGTTCACAATGTGAGAAATACCTACAGCACATTTAATACAGGTAGCAGCTGCTTACGCAGGGTCAGTTTTAACAAACATGAGGAATTAGCATGTAGATGCCTACTATATACAGTAGTACTGTGCAATCTCGGGATCCCCGGGTTGTACACTGTTTTCATTGCGTTGCGATTAACCCGAAACACGTTAAATGTTCTGTATGATCAGAAATTGTTGGCAACGTTTTCTGTAAACAGTTCCATAAACAGTTCTAACTCGTGTTTTACTGTCTCTTTGCAGTTTATGGGAGATGCAGACATTTGGGATGGCGGAATATTAAAACTTAGAAAAAACTCGACGACGGAGAATATTTTAATTTGGGCAGGGCACAGTGAACTGCTTTTTGAGAGACATTTCAGAGCTCCTTCTACAAACGTCCTGCAATATGTCCATATAGACCATACGGAGCACAAACGAGGGGAAGCACCTTTAACGCCGTTAATTTAGTCTAGTAGACTGTATTTTTATCTATGGACTTCTGTCTCCTCTTATTATTTTTTAAATTTAATACTTAAAGAATTTGACAAGGATACAAAATGTTCCTCCTGCGCAAATTCTAAAAAAAAATATTAAAACAGAGACTCCACCGGAACTACAGTAAATGCTGAAATACTGTACACGAGTGCCCTGCAAATACCTATCGGAATGCTACATCTTTGACATAAATTTTAATTACTGAGTGGGATAGGAGTCCTGCGATTGGCCTCGAGGACTCCTTTTTTTCGCGTTGGGGATAGTCTAGCCGGGTGTAAGAAAGTGAAGATGCTGTTTGAATAATAATTGTCAATGTACTCAATGCAAAGTACTCAAAAGACGGCAACACAACTCGAAGTTCAGCCTGGGCACGAAAAACGCATCTTTCTAAATCCGACATCCCATCTTGCTCTTGACACTTTTGTTGTAACTATAGTGAAACGTAAACAATAGCAAAAGACAATCGTTTGTTACAGGTATTTTTAAAAACTGTTAATTGCATATGAACTAAATTCTGTATGAGCCTATAATAAACGCATTGCGCTTCTAAGAAACCCATTTTTAAGTGGTCAGCTTGCTTTTCACTTTTTGATGTTATGTATCATGAATAGTTATTAATTCAAGAAATGGATAAGGCAGTGTTCAGCCTAGATATAATGTATTTTATACTGAATCACCCATAAATATATATGCCCAGAAACACATGTTGACATGAATACTGCACACTATAAATAAAAGTAATGGTTACTAAAGCACAGTAATGCTGGCATGTTTTATACTCCCTTAACTTCTGTCGAGGGCGGAGGAGTTCTGTGCACGGGTGCATTCTTTAATACATTTAAAAAGCATGACTCATACTCATCTGTCTTAAAATGGTTTTATTCATTTATAATCCACTAGACTGATGACTGTTTTGGAAACACATGAAAAAAACAAGCTTGAGAGAAAGAGAACAAATATGGGAGGAGACTGTTTTTAATGAAGCACTTTCAAGATCCAAATGTCCTTTATAAAAACATGACCTGAAAGTTTTTAAAGAGGAAGGATAACCTTCATTTATTTAACTTGTCCAACACCACCTCCCTACTGCCTGTCGAAGAGCTTTCACTGTGTTGCGCTGCAAATTGAGATTCAGCGTTGTACAAACAGGATATTAAAAAGATTCAGGTGTATCTGTGTTCCATAGGGAAGTTTTAACTGTCCACACCAAATGACATGAGAGACGACTGGACAAAAAACAAATGAACTGGAGAGGTGCATATCTTTATCGTTTACCATATTACTCATTTTTGGATGGTACAAGTTATACAGTACTTATGCGGCAGTGACCGACACAAACGGACGGTTCTGTTCGGTTTCTCGAATTCCAGATGGATCGTAAAAGGCAAAGTCGCTCCTCCTCCTGTTAGGGATGAGCTGCCGTGACTCGGGCCCAGGTGATGTCTTTCAGTCGTTCACTCATCGGAATTCCAATTCAATTATTACATTGAATAAACTTTATTGGCATGATCAATGAATATACAATTAACACAACATCTATAGACATTTACACATAGACATATGGTGCACTATTGAGAGACTCAACGTTCCTCAGGCTGTGACAGAATATCACATACTGGGCTGCCAGTTCAACTGAGTTCTCTTCCCCCTCTCCCAGTAGGATTGGGAGCTGTTCTGACGCTGGCAGGTGTGGGAATTCTGGGATTAGATTTGTTAATGTGGGGAAGAATGTTTGTCTAATCCCAGACTATCTGTCACAGTGCAATTTAATCAACATCGTAAATCCAAAACGATTCAAATCATCATTCGTTTCTTGCGATGTTGCTGAGCTACGAAGACAAAGGTTTTTGTATTTCCTCTGATCTAATGAATGTGAAAAGATGACAGGTTTCAGGTTCAGATTTCGGATCGACTGTGTCCTGACACAGCAGATGAAGCTCTTAATGAACAAGGACAAATAAAATACATGCAGAAAACATTGCAGAAGGCTAAAATCAAATTGTTTGATTCTTTTATTAAATTAAATCTCAAAGCATCACAACTCCTTTCCAGGCGTGTGTGTCATTATGGTATTTTTTATTTGCATCTACTGTAGTTCCAAAGTTTTTTTTACCTTCTTAAACTACAGTACCATGGGCAATTTCACCAAAACTTCCTAAAATTGGCGGGGCGAGTGTACGAATAAGAATAGAGTAGAAATAGCCAGCTGCTATGTTATCACTATAAAATTACTACAGTTCATGTTTATCTTTCCAGTATTATAATATGTCACAGTTATTTTAATCTTGTATCTGCATATGCTTTATCCCCGTGCAGTTAAATGTCAATTTATTTTCATGGAAGCTATAATACGCCACCTAGTGGCGTTCCAGGACTAGAAAACCAGGTAACTGAATCCAACCTATTTATTTTTAAACTTGCCCATTTGGTCAATGACAGCAGGATCCTTATATTCTCAAACAACATAAATGATGCATTTCAGTGATGGAGATGACTAGTTTATTCATTTAGTATTCATTTTAAACCTCAAAACGGTACATTAACTGTAAATATATTGTTAAATGCATTTTATTACAACAAATGAGAGCCATAGTTTCTTCTTCTTTGAACAAATATGAATCATTATTATTATTATTATTATTATTATTATTATTATTATTATTCACATAGTGGAATTGCATTATTGTACCACATTTTAACTTTATATTCATAGTTATTGGGCATTTTCGAAAAAAAATGTTCTGTGTGTCTAAGTTTTACAGCTCAAAGACGAGTCACCAATTCCTGTACTTTCCAGTACTTTCTCATTCTGCCTAAACATTTTCCAGTCGTACTTTCTTTGACAGGTAAAGAAAACGAGGAATAATGTAGTGTTCCTATTAATTACCAGTTAGGTTTTGTTTGTAGCCTACGTGCCGTATTTAATTTTTTGTTCAATATAGAGGGGATGAATTAAAATGTCGAGAGACTTCGGTTAAAAAACTGCAACTTTTTAGAGTCTACATCGTGGAGACACACAGAGTCTACTTTGGCTTGGAGGTGTCGTTTCTTGACGTACTGCGAACAGGAGACTGTTCAATGCCATGCACCTGCTGATGCACGCTTGTCTGGGTTGTGGTGCAGACGCCTTGGAGTGTTTCGACACAACATTGTGTCGCGTGCTGACAGTGCGCCGTTTGTGCACACCTTTGGCACGTTTAAGAAACCTCCGTCACGTGCAGTCGACAAGCCGCTTGGAAGAGCCCCTTTGCAGAATACTAATCAACCTGTTTCACATCTCCGCGTCGCTTCAGCATCTTCCAGAGGCGAAGCAGAAGAGCGCAACAACAGTCGACCGCAACTTTTACGTTTTCTTTTCGAAAGATCAAACTTTCATGGATTCCATTTTTAAGAAAAGCGCCGTTTTCTCACTACTTCTGTCACTAAAACGAGAACACGGTGGTTTTACACTGGGGGAAACCTGGCTGTTGTGCAAGCGGTACTGGCAGATTTGCAAAGCAAATGAATGAATGAATGCCGCCAGCAAGGATTGTCACTCGTGGATGATGCATTGCTAATGGACAAACGGGGATCTGTGGCTTTTGACGTTAACGATGTTTTCGAAGAACCGCGGCGTATCTTCTTGACTTCTCAAGTTGGCACGAACCAATGCAGATACTAAAGGTTGTCTGGTCTTCAGTTGTAACAGCCGCTGTCCATCATTGCGCTGATAAGTGTTGTAAATAGTCCTCTTCTCCCGCTGCTCTGGTGACATGCAGTCTCTCATATCTCCGGTGACCAAGGCTATTTTGGTAGCTTTGTTCATTTTCGCCATCCTGCTTATTCTTTACGTGATTTTGTGGTATATATGCCGGGACGTGGATTGTGATCACGGGATCTGATTTGCGGAAAATACATAATACCTTGACATTTCGGAAAAGACAGAGTGACCCTGGTAAGTCCAAAGGCATGTCTCTTCTTCTAACTCCAATACTAAGCTATTGCTTACTAGACTAAACTGCAATTTCAGGATTTAAGCGACTCAAGTGTGCGTGTTACAAGATGCAGTTTACACATATGATATTCTTACAATATAATATCATGGGTCTATTAACACCTTAACACGAAACCATTGCTATATTGTTTAGGATGCCTTCAGACAGTGTTATAATACGTTGTGCCATTCTCTTCGTGCAAAATAATAATGTGCATGTACACATGGATCGGATACACTTCTCCTTTCTCGACTGCGTCGCCGTTTTATGTACATTTTCCGAAGAGTGGTTTATTTTTATTTGGTTTGGTTATTAGTGTTTACACGTACAGTATCACACTAGGCGCAATAAAACCTTAAAAGGTAAACTAGCAGGAAACCCACTTAAAAAGAACAGTCGTGTAAATAACTAC